AGAGAATGGCAAAACTCACTGATACTGCCGACTACAATGCCGGCGAAAGGTTTGAGAACGTACCAAGTCCACTGTCTGATGCCGGGAATTATGACAATTACTATGGCAGAGGACCTCGGACTATGTGCGTTCTACTAAGTCGCCCTGACAGCAAGACCAAGTTGCGACGAGGTCAACCCACTTCTACTTCTATATAATTGTTTATTTATTGTTCAGCTTTTTTTATATTACATTTAATTTATACCATTTGAAACTATCTGTATTATAGATGAAATAATGGAAATACATCACATATCAATGTTTTTTCCAAATTCATCTTCCTAGGCCTCCACACAACTTGCTAATGTTCCTGCTTTCGCTGGTTCCTTTGGCTTTCAGCTCCCTACTGGACCTATATCTGTAACCGCGACTCCATCCTCTGCTGCGGCAATCGAAACAGGCTCGCTTGGTGGCTTTTCTATTGGTTCATCTAATGAAACTTACACTACTTCAACGACCAGTGTGTTATCTGATGTCATATTATTAATTTTGCAGTGATCATTTAATTTTATATTTGTAATTGACAATTAAAGCTTTTTTAATTTATCTTCTCAGCTTCCCTAACAGAACCTTTTTATGAAAATTACCTTTAAAATTGCATCGAATATATGAAGAACAGGATGGTGTGGCCTTTTGTATGGTCGCGGTCTGCTTTCCTTGTATAGAAATTGTCTGACCTTGTTTTCACAACTTGTTCATATTGACGGGAAGACCTAGAGGAACGCACATTGTCCGGAGTCCGTAGTATGCATGATAATTTCTAGAATTGGACAGTGGACTTGGTGCATTCCCAGATGTTTTGCCGGCATTGTAGTCGGCATCTTCAGTGAACCGGCTTATCTGACGAGTTGTAGTGGGGTACTAAGAATGGCAAGGCTTACTAACGATGCCGACTACGGTGCTGGCGAAACGTCTGCGAATGTACCAAGTCCACGGTCCGACTCTGGAAATTATCATGCCTACTATGGACTTCGGACAAGGTTTTTTCACCTAAGTCTTCCTGCCAATATAATCAAGTTGCGATAATAAGGTCAAACAACTTCTTTTAATGTTGGAGTATTTTTCATGTCGTTCGAATAGGCGAGTGAATGAGAATTGTCACCTGGTTCCACTGGAGGTTATAGGGGGTTGCCTTGGAGCTGTGTTTGTAGATTTGTGCAAATTGGTCTTCGGCACACTGTCCTGCGACCCCGATAAATCTTTGCTGAGCTTTCGTTCGTCGTGTGACGGACATCGACAGAGCTGGACACAATAATCCACCAAAACCGAAGGCAAAAATGGTATCCGGCTTCAAACCTACTTCTTTATATTCTAATTTGGTCCATTTAGGCATTTCATGCTTTCGTTGCATGTCCTATTCTTTCTCTATATATTTGCTCCAACCAAAATGAGATGCTTAAGTAGATCAAATTGGAATATAAGGAGGTAGGTTTGAAGCTAGCCACCTTTATTGCCCTCGTGTTTTAGATGAATTCTCATTGACTATGGTGTCCTGCTCTAACGATGTCCATTACATGAGGGCTGAAAGCTCAGCAAGGATTTATCGGGATCGCAGGGTTGTTCTTCAAGGATAAATTCGCACAAATATACAACCATAGCTCCGAGGCAACCTCCCTACAGCCTCTGGTAGAACCAACTTACGAATTCATTCCACTCGTCTCTTCAAACGATATAAAAGTTACTCCCACGTCAATCTCGTAAGGGATTCTTTGAAACCCAGTTCTCCTTTATAACTTCTTTTAAAATTGCATGTTTATTGCTAAAGATAGGATACCTTAATTCTTGAATGTCAATGTTCGATCGTCTCGCGTTTGACTTACTACTATTAAAAAGTATAATATTCATTTGTTTTGCTTAATTTTGTGGCTTAAATAATTAACCACAGGTAGCTCACTCGGCACGGCCCGAAATTCTTCTCCCGAACAGACTAATTTCAAGGCTATTCTGCTTGATGATTTCCACACCGCCAGACAGTTGGCCAGAGCTAACTCAGCTCAAACTGCATCAATTCAGCGATCAGGTAATGTCCACCCATCCATTAGAATAATTTGTCTTGACTGTTTTTAACTTCTTTCTTCTGGCGAATTGTCGATTTCTTGGGAAGTCTATTTAGGCCATTTGATAATATCAAGTTGCTGATTTAAATTTACTATTGACTGCTTGGCGCCATATGACGCTGTAAAACAGCTACTATGGCTGTCTAACATACTGAACTAACTTACTAACTGAAAATATTCATTTTATCATTGAGTCACAATTCCAAGGCAACCCTCATTCGGTATCCGGTGAGGCTAATTTATGACTCTTTTATCTCCTTTTTAAACGGAATGGAAGGTATACCAGCTTAATATAAATGTTTTAACGTATCATTCTCTCATCTTCCACATTACACAAGTATCTACCGAATCCATTTATCTTAATTGGTGATTTTGATTATAATCTAGGTGTTGCCGAAACAGACTGTTTTTTCATCAGGTTATTACATCTTCAGAAATTGTAACATGACATACAGCTAAGAAGTTATTTATCCCGCTTATCTTAGAATCTTATAATGAAAGCAACAATTCGATACGAGTTTGCCCTCACCTATAAGCAAGTTAATCTTGTTTGGTTGTCGGCTTGGCCTGAATATCATATGCATGTGATCATATATTTTCCCCTTGTCTATCCACATCTTGGTTTTCATGGAATATACATTAATTTGCTTTTCCTTCCCAGATGCTTCTAACGCCAACCCATATGTCTACTCAATTGATCCTTCTACCTTACCTACGCCTTCAATAATGGCACATGGCACAACTAGCCACCGACTCAGCTACCAGTGCATCAACCCTTCAGCAAGCTCGGATCCATTTGTCTCTGTTAACTGCACTAGCTCTTCTTCACTTTATCCTGACTTAGGCGTGACAAGGCCTGGTTTGCTCTCTGGTTGTCATTACGCTGGCCCGACTACGTCTCATTTAGCTGCCCCCAGCCCTAGTTCATCTTCTTGGCTGAACTCAAGTGAGTCCTGTCTCTTCCTTGAGTTTGATGCTAACGCCTTTTATCACATTATTTTGATACTATATTTTTATCTTTAGTAGTTAATATCCTTGCCAAATGCACCTGGCGTGTTTTTTTGGAGGTCAACCACTTTTACATTGATTTTCGATCCCATTTGTTTTTTATCTGTTCTTTTTCTTGTTACTATCAAATTGCGAATTTAAAGGTATATATTCATTCCTTTTAATCGTGAATTATGCAATTTAGATACTTTTGTTTGGCTCGGCGAGTTTATTTAAAATCGGGTTATCTTGTTTCTTTATGACTTTAAAAAAAATTATGTTAACTTTTTGGCTATGATTAGGGAAGAATTTTTTCATGTCGTTGTGTTCATGGTAACGCTATCAAATTATTTTGAGAAAAGCTTTCTATGAGGATACATCTTATTACGGCTTCTTGCACAAAAAGCAGGGTGAAATGAAAACTTCGTTGATGTTAGTGTTTAAATCACCTTCCTGATTCAAAAAGCAGCTGATTTGGAAACTCGGGACCCTTTTGAAGTTTAGAGCTTAGGTGCTCATATTTGGTCGTTAAGATGTAAAGACATCTTCATCTAGTGCCGAGTCTTTTACAAGAATTGGTCCTAGTTTGTATGATATGCATTTTATGATGTACAGGAGCTGCAAAACAGCAGGAATCGGTGGTTTTCTAGGGAGATCGAC